GCAGCTGACCACACACAACAAAGAAAGCACAAACACCAAAACATTTCAAGCAGAATACAAAAAACTAATAGATAAATACCCCGGTGCGGAGCTCATCTTCACGGATGGCTCCAAAAAAGACAATGAAGTGGGCGCCGCAGCCCTATCTCCCAACAATACACACCAGAGGAGACTCCATCCTGAAGCCTCCATTTTCACTGCGGAGGCCACTGCCATTGACATGGCACTGGACTCTGTAGAAAATTCCCCTAACAAATCTTTCCTTATCCTTTCTGACTCTCTGTCTTGCATCACCTCACTCACAAACTACACACTCCTACACCCAAAAATAGTTAGGCTACAACAGAAAATCCATACACTATCCGAAACAGGAAAAAACATCATGTTCGCATGGATACCCAGCCATGTGGGCATCCGAGGAAACGAGCAGGTAGACGACCTGGCGAAGAAAGCTTCATCCCTTCTGCTGGGATCAACGACAAACACTCTCCCACAGACTGACTTTAGAAATAAAGTCAAAAAGTACACCTCCAGTCTGTGGGAGAGCCACTGGGAAAACCAGAAAAATAATAAATTATATGAAATTAAACCCAGACTAGAACAGCGAAATCCTTCGGATCTCTCCAGAAGAGACGAAGTCATTTTTACTCGATTGCGCATCGGACACACAGCCCTGACCCACAAATACCTCCTACAGGGAGATGAGAAGCCGTTCTGTGTCGGATGCGACACAGATTTTACCATTAGACACATTTTAACAGAATGTCTAGACTTTGGAGAGATCCGAAGGAAATATTATAAATGCAAGAAATTGCAGGATATTTTTTCCGTCGTTGTTCCCAGCAGAATTTTAAATTTTATAAAGGCCATTGGCCTTTATGGCGAGTTGTAGAGTGAATTTGATATTATTTAAAATTTTTATTGTTACTTAAAAGTTGTTTTAGATCACAAATGTATTTACACCGAATTTGAATATTTTAACTTTTTAGCATTTTAAAGTAAATTAGTTAGCCAGTCGTGAAGTGAACTTTCGCAGAGGTGAACAACTTGTGTTTCGCGCGCTCATATGACCTTAGCAGTTGCGAGCGCCGTAAAACCTTATACTATACATACATACAGACCACAACAGCGCCCACCAACCCCAAAGAGCGATCAGTTAGACCATCTGGAGCAAAGTTCACCCGGTACTGGTACACTGTACCTATCTACTATCTAGCATCTGCGTTTTTCGCGGCCGCTGAACACGAACGAATATCAATATCAACTTCATTTCCGTCGCAAATTAATAGTTTTTGAAATATTTGATTGATCTTAGTCGAGATAGACGTGCTTTGGACCAATCGGGCGGCCCTGAGGTAAAAGAAAATAGGGGGAGGGGGGGTTACAGGGGGGGGGGGGGTCCCCCTGTTTTAACCCTTAACTTGATATTTTACAGTTAGATTTGAAATTTTCTAGAAAATAATTGATTTGCGACAGTTTTAGTGACTTTATACTTTATCACTTTTTGTGTGATCTGCAGCAAAGAGAACTGCAGTTTGACCCTCGAAGCAGTGCATCTGTGTGCGGGAGTAAAAGTAAAAATTTACCCTATTTTCAAGAGGAGAATATAAATACACGTACATTACATTTCATACTGTTTAAAATGCTGTTGGTCTTTTATTTTCCCCTCTTTGTTGAGTTTTTTTTTTAAAGTTCTGGCGTGGTGTTTTTCTATTAAATTTTTTTTTCGGGGGGGGGG